CGATCGAATAGCCATAGGTTAATGTCAAGGTTAAGTTTGACGTGTAGATTAAGAACAGACTGGCAATGTTTGTAGCTATAAGATAGATTGTACACGGATTTTTGCGTAAACTTCTTCGTGCAAAGACACACAAGCTGAGTATAGAACTGATAGTTCCTGTAATCATTAAAATGGGTCCGCCATATTGGTGTAAACTCTGTAGTATTGAGGAGAACAGTTTGATCAGGTCGTAATCCGAAGACATGATTTTATATCTGTGAAAAAGAAAAAAAAAGAATACATTTATTTACTCTGAAACTTATGCACACCTACCTTCCAACAGATTTCGTTAAAATAATATCTGATCCGTCATCGCTGCTATGTGGCTGTAACCGTCTAATTAACTAATGAATTTGACGTGCAGAAAATAAAGGCGATTACAAAGTAATTGACGCGAAAATATGTCCTTAAGTTTCAGTTTCTTACTGCACTGAACAATTACATACATTCATTATACTTGAACGTGTTGCTCGTTGTTTATTTCTACAGCTGGTAGTAACGCCACTAATTTTCTGTATTAGCAATCTGAATAGTTTGAGTAGATTTTATTGGATTTTACTGTTCTTTCTGACGTTAATTGAAGTTCAAATGTACCATGTTACCCTGGATAAATTTTAATTTTGTATCGAAAGATTATCGACTTATGCCCTCTGGCTGAAAATAATGCCATACAGTATATATAAATCTTTTAACAAACGCACTTATATATTCTCGTTGGCCGTAGAGTTGTCGCCAATTGCATAGAAATACATTGTGGAATGCATTTTGAAGACACCCTATAAGGATCAGATTTTTGCAAAACGTGAAATTGTTTTTATTTCCAATATAAAAACACATATACTCTGTACATACCTGAAATTTCGTGTTATCCTACACTATCATCAATCTTATGTTGAAAATATTTTATAATTAATCCTTAATTCAATGATCCACGCTGAGGAATCTTCTTTTTGAATAGAGTCAATTGGAAAAATTATTCCGACAAAGAATAAAACTTTTCTTTCACATGGCATGGTACTGAAACTTGAAATATCAATAAAAGATCGGAATTTGCCGTCGACTCCCTTCGATGGAATACGAATTTCAAACAAAGTACACTAAAGAGCTCCTTGAACAAACGAACGAGCCATCCGTTCGCTATGTGACATTGACAACTATTTTTTGTTCAAAAATCATTCTTGAAATTTACAAATGAAACCGATGTTTCTTGTACGAAATGCTTTATTCAATAGTCGATACACGAATGCACCTTTGGTATACCAATTTAAGATACTCTCATCTGAACCTCACAAATCAAAATGATTAATTCAAGTCGACATTTCTCGAACATGGTTTGTTTTAAATGCTTTATACAGAAAGTTTTCCAATGTTTGATCAAATAGGAGGTAAAAGATTGATACTATAAGATTGTTCGAGCATTTCCACTCAAATTGAGTAACGATTGTTCTATGCAATTCTCATCTATAGAAGACATGTTGACTAGCAAATCGGTTGCATAAGATCGTAGGATATTTTTACGTAACCGACTGATTAATTTCGATTGATTACGATTAATTACTTGACAGCTTTCTTGGTCAATGATAAAATGCAGATTTTCATTGCAACTAGAGAACAAGTCTAATAGAATGAAAAGGACGATTTTGGCATTTACATACACATCACCCAATATTCGCTCGTTGTGTTATACAATCGAAGCAGCATATTTTTATTCTGTATCTCGTACATTTGCCTATTCTACATGACGCGTTCTTACTGACATATTGACTGACTTTTATCTTATTTCACTCAGACAGCAAGTCGTCAAAGCTCCTGTCAAAGAAAGTGGGACAAAACGTACGCGTTAGCACTTACATATTAAGAACGAACAGAAAACTAATATGTCAGATGATAAGAACTACCAAAAAATGGCAAATAGTAGATTTTCGATATGGGAAAAATGTCTTGATGGGGAAAAACCTTCTAAACTGATCTTCTATATAAACACATATTTTTATCGCAATTTATTCTTCATTTTGCCTGCGGGTCTAATTAAAATGGATGGTAATTGTTTCCGTGTTTTTCTCGCCAATCTTCAAGATCGTCTGAGTAATGATGAACGAAAACGTCTCGCATTCATTGTTGGTGACGGTAGATTTTCACCTGGTAGTAGTCTTAATTTAGTGGACGCTCTTTCTTATCGAAATACAATCAACAACGAGGATTTAAGACATCTAATTGATGGTTTGAAAGAACTTGGTTGTTCTGAAACAGCACGAATAGTAGAAGGTAATTTCTCTTTTGTTTTATTATTTTCGACACTTTTGCTTATATTTGTAATCTTTAGATAGTTTGCCATTGATGATTCCATCAAGCCGAATAACGTTAGAGGAAATTCTAAATGACTATGAAGAAGATTGATCACAATTGAAAAGATCATCAGAAGCTTTTCTTTACTAAGTTTCTCCTTTTGTGCTATTTTGAATATCACCAAATATAAAGAAGTAGAAAAACCTCGATGGTGTTTGCTAATCTCTGTATTTCTGCTTTGATTTTACTCTATAAAACAAGTCGAAATTTGTCTTCCTATCGTAGCACGTGTTGAATTCCATGTGGAATATAAAAGGTCATTACGTCATGCACAAAAAGATTCTTGTTGTGCCGATTGTTTTTCTTTTATCAAAATAGAATAAACAATGAAAATATTAAAAACATTATCAATGGTTACGCGGTGAAAGTTTTCTCCCGTATTTAAAACATTTAAGTCGGAACTGGATGAACGAATTCAATGAATTCCACATCAGTGATTGTTACTATTTATTTGTATTTAATCTACTTTCTTTGCGTTTTGAAATCGTGGAGATGTTTCGTAAATCGAACTGAAGCAGATGGAAGTTCTCAAAACGATACATTTCTGATCTCGATGGGATTTTAATCGACATAGACAAGACTGTTTTGATTATTAAATAGGTATAGAGATTTCTAGATTTCATTAACATCGATTGCAACAACTGCCAAAAGTTTTGATGACATAGATGATGGAGTTTATTCAAGTTTTGTTAAAGAATTTATTCGTATTGAACTTCTATTCGTCACATAGAATTAATCGACAATCTCCTTCACGCATTCTTTTCTATTCTGTTCTGTGATAGTCCATTGCTTTACCTGTATGACAAACAGAAAATGTGACGCACGTCCTCATTCGTACTTTCTGCACGCGTGCTGACCCTGTGGATGTATTACATGAGTGCTTGTATAAAAAGATGAGATTGAATAGCAAATTCACATAGTCAATAATTCGATTCAATATGATTTTCATTCAACTCGTGTTCATCTGTTTATCAACATGGATTTTACAATCACATTGTCTGAATGTGTTATTCGTCGTTGATGGCGCTGCAGGTCATCTGACGCCTGTGTTGGAATTGGCCAAGGCAATGAAAAATCACAATATCACTTTTCTCACTCAACAAGTGGCTCGAATTTATACTGATTTGAATTCATATTCCTCTCCTCGATTCCGCGTTATCTATGCTAATGACACAATCGATGGTTTTCTTCGAGAGAAATACTTTGAAGAACAGAAAATCGTTACTATAGCTAATCGTTCGGTGCTGAGCGCACTTCCTGAGATCGTGTCATTGGTAGGTGATATATTCAGCGAATTGCTGAACAAAACGATTTATGTGTTGATGCACGAACGTTTTGATGTAATCGTCGCAGGCCAAATGGTTTTTGGAATATCATTGTTATGCAACAAAATTTCAACACCGTGCGTTATTCAAGACGCAGTACAACCATTGGGTTTTTTAAATCTTAATTCACCAAATGAATTTGCCTCATTGACAACCAAAGAGATGAGTCAGTTTAAATATCGTATTTACAATATAGCATTTATTGTTCATGCTACAACAAGAATAATAACGGAGTTGGTACCAGCAGTTTACACACTCTTTCAATCATTACCTCAAATACCCGGTCCATTCTACGATGCGTTTACATTGAAGAATATTCTATCGTCCAGATCGAAACAACTGCATTTGATTAGTTTGCCATCATCGTTTCCTATGTCGGTCTCTCCAACCCCTTACAAGAAATATTTAGGCGCATTTATAGATGAAACACCTATTGACGATGATAATAGTACTCTAATTACATGGATCAAATCTAAGCCAATCAGTTCAATTGTGTATGGAGCATTTGGTAGCACCTCACTTATTTTTTATGAACGAATGTATAGTTTAATCAGTGGTTTAGCAATGTTTTTGTTACAAACGGAAGATAGTTTTCTACTCCTAGCATTTCAGAATGCTAATTATGATACTTATCAAGCAGTTCTGAATAATTTACCTGATAAAAGATACAGGCAAGTATTGGAAAATGAAGAACGAGTCAAAATCAAGCAAGGATTCGTCAAACAAAAGATGATTTTACAACAACCAACTGTGAAAATCTTCTTAAGTCATTGCGGAATGGGTTCTTGTATAGAAGGACTGTACTTCCGTAAGCCTATTGTATGCATGCCATTCAATATGGATCAGTTTTATAATTCACGTTCAATCGAAAATTTCAAATTCGGACAATCTCTATTCATTCCACATTCTCTTCTGCAAACAATGCAAAGTCTTGGCGATTTTACGACGTATACTTTTACATCCGAGAGTGTCAGTGATAAACTAATGGCTATATGGACGAACCCGACGTACGAGAAGGCAGCTGAACATATTTCGTTGGAAATGAAGCATGCAGGTGGCCTAAAACGGGCAGTAGAAGAGATCGAGTTTTTTGTTAGTCTTAATGGAGATCTGGACCGTTTTATGCCACTTTCCAATACTTTACGATTCTATCAACGGTATTGTTTGGATTTATTGTTCGTAGTTATTATTTTACCTTTGATCATCGTCAAATGTGTCTTTTTAAAATGTTGTAAGAGACAAAGAAAAACAAAAAAAGATTAATAAATATTCATGTAGAGATAAAATGCACTAAAAAGTATTTTGTGATACATAACCTTCCCGTTCATCATGAACAGCATACAGCTGGTGATAGTTCTCAAAGACAGATATTTTGTTCATTTTGGCTTCCAAATCGAGAATTTTCTTGCGAAGTTCTACAATTTCCAATGAATCGCTTTGCGTTCCGATGAGCAAGCGATGTATCCAATTGTTTGGCTGTAGAAGCTTATGGAAAAATAATTTTATAACAGGAATTATCCATAATCCAAGTAGAAGAAATAGCATAGCTAATAAATCAATACAGATCCCAGCAAATAAAATCGTCTTGAAAATAATTTCAGCTTGTCGCGCGATCGGTTGCTGTTTGTTTCGTACAAAGAAAGGTGTTTCACTAGTTCCAACATCTAATATCGTTTGCGGATGATCGTTTAGTAGTGTGGTATTTTTAAATAATTGATCGGGATCAAATGTAAACGTAGGAAACCAAAGTCCACTATAAGTCGTCTGATCATTCTTTGTCAAACCTTCAGTTACGTTAATTACTTTCGTCAATTCCAGATGAATATTCATATTTTGGGACATCATTTTTGATCTATCATGAAACATTTTCGAAAAATTCAATGCTTGCGTCCAGCTATCACCTATACGAGAGTATTCAGCTGATAAACCTACTCGAACAGCTTGAATTGTATTGTTTCCTTGAAGAGTCATTTTTACGCTGGAGACATGAAATGGTAATTTAATCGAAACGACAAGCGATGTGTCAGTTGGATAACAGGAAAACAAAGACTTGTTACTGTCAGTTTCGTTGCGAATAGCAAACATAATTCGTCCGCAATGTAACGAGGTGTTGATGAATTGAATATTCAAAGTGAATACTTGTGAATTGAGTAAATTGAAGACTGTTTCATGATCACCGGCTGGCGAGTTTAAAAAGCGGAGGCTAGTTTCGAATTTGGCATTGAGCAGATCTTTGGTTTGACACGTTGAATGTTTTGTTTCCATTGAATACTGAGTATGAAAAGTGACACTAAATTGTACGAGAAATCCAATAAAGAATAAAGCACTGATGGAAATGAGACCACCGAACCAGAATTTGCCTTGTTCGATTAAATCGAAATGTTTGAACAAATTCTTTGCAAATTGCTGTTTAATTCTAAATCGTTTCGAAAGGTTCATTGAACATATCAACATTGAAAGAAGCACTACAATCGAAAGAACTATTGCAGTCATAATTATCGGAGATTTCCAACCACAATCTGTGCGAAACATATTATAGAATAAGATATCATCGAACACATCGATTTCCGCTGTTTCAGGATAACCAATTGATTGTGTAACATCGCTCATTAGTTCTTCTGTCATGGCAAACTCCAGTGGACAATTTGATCTATTTTGACATTGCAGACAGGTAGGAATGAGACTGGTATTATCTGCTTTGCAAACACTGCACGGCCATATTCCAGCATCATTTTTATAGGTTCCAACTGGACAGGTAACACGATTTGGATAGAGAAAGTAGAGTCCATCGACATGATTCGTATAAATATCATCATAAAAGAAAGATTCTACTGAATAGTATCCAGGATCAGATGGTAACAGAACTAAGATATGATAAAGTTGATTGATTAGATACAATGTAGAAGGAGTCGTTTGTGTGGCAACCATGAACGTAGCAGTTGGTTTGAATTGATTGGTGTATTTCTGAAAAAAGTTAGGAAAAGTCATCGTGGCTGTTGCATTAGTTATAAACAATGTCATGTTGTTCGAATCATAAATATAAACATTTGATCTTGCAGTTATTACTGAATCTCGTGGTAGATCAGCCGTATCTAACACGGCAGCCCTTTGTCCGTTATTTAACCAAACGACACTCGTTCCGTAATTGTCTCTCATCATAATATCTTGCCGTTTAGTGCCTAGATGTTGCAACCGGAATGACTTCGTAGGCGTTTCATCGATAGTAAATAGATAAACCGAGTTTATAGTTGGAATTCCAAGCAGAATCTTCTCATCTGCTTGTTCACTTACGCTAAGCGATAGGTCAAGATGGTCATAGCTACACGCTAGTTCTGATTGCCATCGATCATGGAATTGAATTCGACATCCACTGAAATCAACTGACATTAAATAAACTGTTACAGTGCATGAACCCGCAGATTTTTCATAACCAGCCATATAGACAAAACGAGCGCTCATATCAGCACATACCGGTGTAAAACGTGTTGAATTTGGCCAAACAATCTCATCGATCCAATGTATCCGTGTGAATAAATTACGAATAAAAATAAAAGAATCCGTCATAGCAATTGCATATTGACCACGTGGTTCAACCGATAATACAAGACGATTAATAGGATTAGCTTTTGATAGATTTCCAGACGTAACCGTATCCATTTCAACATATTCATTATCAGTAACAGTAACTTTTGACATATACAGCACGGATCCGTTTTTCTGCATGGTAACAAAATAAAGTTGAGAGTGATTTTGTGCTTTACCAATAGCAACAGTTGACGCATTCAACAAACTTCTAGAAATGTAGAACACCTTTTTTCGATTGGCAGAAAACTGATATTGTATGGGAGAATTTGAATTTGATTTCAAAGAAACAAAAAGATGATCATTCGCTGCTAGTATAACAGAAACTGGAGGAGATCTTTGTCCGTTGATAAATTGTACCATAAATACAAATAGAAATACAATACACTCCATTGAACACTTCTATTCGATTGTGCATAATATAGATGTGACACGCGATAACATTCTATTTATTCTAAATATGACGATGACGTCCAAAATGGTGAAATACGAGATATCTTCTCTCTCAAATATTGTAAAAAAATACATCACAGATTTACATTAATCATTTTCAATCAAATACTTTCAATATCCTATTACATATTTCGATCATTCAGATAGATTGTTGACCTTGGATGAAGTTAAAAATATAAAACATATGCGAGTAAGTGCGCTCAATAACTGCTCAGTTTCTTTAGGAAATTATTCAACAGAATTAACGCGTTCTTGGCACATCTTTCCTTGGTTCGACTTCTGGCGGCCTACAAAATATTTCAATAAATTCTTCATTGTGAAAGTGAATCACCCCTATCAATCAATCAATTTTATCCTTTCCTCCGATCGTTTGTTTGTGCTTGATGAAAATGTTGCTTAATAAAGGCTCAGCGATACTTAATTGATGTGCATGAAATTCCATTAGTAGTATTTTTGTTGTCTGAAAACGTGATGAATACACTCACAATCTTGAGACAAATGAACGGTCAATTGGTACAAATATAAATAGACTCTTTTGATCATTTGAGCGCTACTGTCTTCGAACTGAATACTTGCGGAGATTTGTTCACGAACGAAATATACATACAATCAATTTTGAGTGGGATTTCTTTCATGTTTAGCGGTCTGTAAAAGCACACACCATCGCGTATATGTAGGAGGTTCGTAGAATATCCTCGATCTACCCAACGTTTTCTTAGTTTATCGTTAATAGTAATCTAATCAGAAGTTTATTTTATATACATATGTGATTAGACTGGTTGACTGGACTACGTTTGATAATCAAAAGCTAAAGACGCAGTGAATATGTGTCATCGGTCACATTTCTTTTTCTCTTCGGCGTAGTGGGACAAATGTATCCCCATATGAATACTTGCGTCATCAAATCTGTATATAAATATACGAATATATACTGAACGAGCAGAATAGTTTATATTTCATTCTAATTATATGGTAAGTGCACAATGTAACAAGTATTTCTCATAGTTTATCAATATTCGCATATTTTAGCGTTAAACTGAATATGCGTTCTTGTTTGTTTACTGCGCTCTTTCTGATTCTGATTATCAATTATGTTCATTTGGAGGAAGCTAAACCACGCAAAGTTTGTCTGAAGTGTTGTGGCAAACCTCCGTGTTGCAATTGTTGTGGCTTGCCTGGCTGTAATAGTGGAACTGATCAAACTAGTACTACTCCTGCTCCGAGTACAGCATCAGTCGCATATGAAAGAAATTTTCCTGTTGCAATCAACACACCACGGCCATCTGGAGCATGCCTGACCTGTTGTGGACCGCCGCCTTGTTGTAATACTTGTGGACTTGATATCTAATTCTTTCTGTGACAAACTAGAACTTCTTTTGTACATTTTTTTACAATAAAAAAGCGTGACATCAAAGTCAGTACGATGAAAGAGAATAACAATATTGTTAGTACATACGTTTCCGACAATAATGGCCGATCTATTATCCTTATTAAGATCAGAAGCTACTGCGACCATCAGTTCAATCATAAACCGCGTGGGTGTGAACCAGTTGAATATTTTACGGGTGTAGCAAAAGATCCGTTACCTTGATTAAAAATTAGTCACAACAATATCTGATGTAGCATCATCATTTATTTCATTCACTACTATATTTCAAGGATCGTTCCCTGCTGGAAAAAGCGCTTGTTTAAGCAATGCTCCATTGTCTGCATTTAGAAAAACGCGAATTTTACCATTCGCATTAAGAACAATAATGTCTAGATTATACTCACCATTAATAACTTCCACTGCAATACTTTGCAGAACATCGCTACTGTTATATACTACTTGTGGTAAGTATGCTAGATTGTATTGTGCTATAAGAAATCTAACAATTGTGTTACTATCTATTGCTGAAAAGAAAAGCAACAAGTTACTATCTTCATTCGTGCCTTCAGTAAAACAAAAGCATTCAATTACTTGCTATGACATTACTAGGCAGACACTGTGGTACAATCGACGTTACCAATAGTTATTATCGAAATCACTAAAAGAACTGAATATGCCATTTCTATGAGTTGAATATCAAATGGCTTGGTGAATATATTATTTTACACTACGGGTAAAAGTGGATAATAATAAAAAGAAAATCATATCTATGTACACTCTCAGAGTCCTTTTCCGATGGAAGTCATCAAAGCATGATAAAAGTAAATCGAATTGCGTTTGAATTATTTAGAATTTTCGTCGGCAATTTTTAATATTAACTTTCCTTGTGCCATTCGATTTCGAGATCGTTCATAAGCAGAATACAATGCTTCGATTCCATCTTTTCTCCAATCGTATACTTTATCGATAATGGGTTTAACTTTCCCATTTTCAAAATAATTCAATCGTAAATCATCGAGATTCTCCGGTGTTTGACTGTGAACATGCATGAAATATTTGTGGCGTTCAGAGCCGAAAACTGACCAGAATTTTCGATTAAGTAGATTTGCAGCAGTATGAACGATCCATGTTAATGAAAGAACAGGATTTGGATCGTCACCAACAAATGTAATAAAATCGCCACCGCGTTTAAGAATACGCTGCGCAGATATCCAATTCTGTTGTCCTCCAACACAATCGCAAACGATATCGTAATCATTTCCTTGCAATTCTTCGCCGAAATCTTTTTCTTTGTAATCGATGACTAAGATCTGATTGTCCATATTGATCCATTCGGATTTATTTCGGATAATCTCATAACCTAACTTTTCAATGAGGAAAAGATTTCTTTGTGAACAAGTAAGAGCAACGAATGCTCCAACGGCTTTAGCTAATTGAATGGCAAACAGCCCTGTTGCTGAACCGCCGCCACAAATGAATAATTTTGTTCCTTTCCCAACTGGTGATGAACATCGTTGAAATAACGCTTCATAACTTGTTTCACAAGCTAATGGAATTGACGCAGCTTCTTCCATCGTTAAATTCGTTGGTTTGATAGCTAACATTGACTCTTCTGCTCGAGCATATTCTGCGTAACCTCCTCCGTTAGTCCCTAAATTCCCATAAACATGGTCACCTATGCGAACACGTTCGACAGCGGAACCAACATCGACAACGACACCAGCTACGTCACCGCCCGGAATATGAGGAAATGAATATCGAATAGCAAACGATACGTCGCCGTATAACAGTTTACAATCAGCAGGATTAATTGATGCAGCATAAACACGAACAAGAACTTGCTTGGAAGTCAATTCTCGAGGAACGGAGACATTGTCGTCAAGTTTTAAGACATCGCGAACATTTCCATAGTTTATCTGCTGAGCCGCTCGCATAACAGATGGAATTTCATTATTTGAAGTTGTAACGTTATTTTCCGTCATCGACAATACTTTCTTTGCACTGATCTATTTCAGAATACAGTTATAGAACATAATTTGTAAACAATACACGATGACTCAGAGATCCTATTTTGACACAATTCATCGTTGAAATACCAATCAAACAAATGTCGCCTTCTTTTATGTAGATGTCACAAATTAATTTATCGACGATTACAGTACTATGTAAAAAATTTTCTGTTTATTCTATCAGAATGTGAATCTATCAATTATTGTTTTATAATACTAAGGAAACAATGCACATAATCCATCGAATAATCCTTTGGTGCAACAATCACATCGTTCTCCAGGGCTTGATAGAAGCGATCAATGATAGTTTGACGTTCAGTTAAATTTCGTGTCAGATCTAATGCATTGAAAAAGGTACTTTCAGACCAAGAGCGTAAAGTTGGTATGAAAGCTTTAGCAAATACGTGTGCATCGCCATGCTCTCGAAATTGTGCTGCATACGGACATTTGGTAACACGTGTACTCACGTGCTCGAGTACGAGACCGGCGCGTCGCACTGAAGAGTTTTCATCGTCAAAAGGTGCTGTGAATTCATTTACAGTTCTGTAGTGCTGCTGAAACGTAGCGTTGTGATATTCCGACTCGGTTATTTCGCCATCGTTCATCAGTTTTCGCCAGTGGTTAGTAAACCAATTGAACATATTTACACCATTACCTGTAGCACCCAGGTAACGGCCTTGCTCATCTATGCAGAAATTGGCGAGTACCAGCACACCGCCAGAGACAAGTTCTCGAGCTCGTGTCAGAAGAATCGTCTCCCAATCAGTAGCGGCTTGACGACGAAAATTTTCACGTTCTTCGAAACTTGCACCAGTAGCATGTACATGGTCAGCAATGAGTGACGGTTGTTTACTTAACCAATGCATAGCCGTAGCAGAGAATCCAAGTGAGAGCGTGTTCTCAGGAAAAATCTGTCGATAAAATGTTGTTCCACTTGCAAATGTATAAACATTTGGTTCATGACCTAATGGTGTAACGTGGTCGTCGTGAAAATGAAGACGACGAAACAATGCCGAGAAATCATTTTGTGGTAGATCTGTATAAGTAATTGTAATTGGTCGCGTCATGTTTGCTGCTCGAATTGATTTGATTAAACAGCGCATCAGATCGAGTGATGTACCACCGTCAGCTGCACCGAAATCGGCGATTTCAAACGGTGCATTCGATTGAAACAAATTCATTCTTGAAAGAGCGTCAACAGCTAGATCACCTGCAGTATCAATAACGACTTTGGCACCAATTGTATTTTCACTATAGTAGCCCATACCACGCATTGCAATCATTTTCGCGCTTGAATTTTTTATTTCTTTGAACGAAGCGACCTACAATATTCATTATATAAGCAAACTTAGACAAAGCTATAGACGAAATATTATCAAGTGATCGCGAAGTGAACTAGGAGAAAGGAAAAGACTGTTGTATATTCGGCGATCAGCGTGACATAATCACACATTAACAAAACATGTTAGAAGTTTAACTCACACTATTAAAAGCAATAAAAGATAAAGTGACAAAAAGAAACACGTGTCTCGAGCACTGATAACATGTCTTTCGTTTCTGCCTTAAATTTTTATATTTATGAATGCAGTGGAAGCAAAACGAGAAAAACAATATATCAATGACGTGTTAGTTTCTTTTTCATTCTGTTTAATATTTGTGCGAATGATGTCTGATCGAATTCTGCCTGATAAAATTTGGAAGGTGAGATAAACAGAATGTAATTTGTCATTTGAGATAAATAGGATAAGAAGTAAGTTACAAATAAATATATACTTTCATACACGATTGGTTTCGATTGACATTCGCACGTTTACATGTAACAAGGAGAATAAGGATAAGTACAGAAAAAAATGATCAAACACGGAATCATATAACCAAATATGGTTATCGTTTGACTATAAATGGACAAATGTTGATCATATTGTATAACACACCATGTACCTGTTTTTATGTATTTCGGATCAGGAACAACGTTGTAATAAATGACTTCATAAATGATTTAGAAACACAGATACGCACGCACTTTCAATGGATGTGAAAGTAATTAACCAGAAACATAATCGCGTAAAACACGATAAACCATATGTAATCGATTTACACAGAATTGTGTTAATTGTATAATTCAATATGAAACCTCTTGCACTTAACAGGAAATAAATGTTCTTTGAAAACAAAAATACAATTGATNGGAGACATGAAATGGTAATTTAATCGAAACGACAAGCGATGTGTCAGTTGGATAACAGGAAAACAAAGACTTGTTACTGTCAGTTTCGTTGCGAATAGCAAACATAATTCGTCCGCAATGTAACGAGGTGTTGATGAATTGAATATTCAAAGTGAATACTTGTGAATTGAGTAAATTGAAGACTGTTTCATGATCACCGGTTGGCATGTTTAAAAAGCGAAGACTAGTTTCGAATTTAGCATTGAGCAGATCTTTGGTTTGACACGTCGAATGTTTTGTTTCCATTGAATACTGAGTATGAAAAGTGGCACTAAATTGTACGAGAAATCCAATAAAGAATAAAGCACTGATGGAAATCAGACCACCGAACCAGAATTTGCCTTGTTCGATTAAATCGAAATGTTTGAACAAGTTCTTTGCAAATTGCTGCTTAATTCTAAATCGTTTCGAAAGGTTCATCGAACATATCAACATTGAAAGAAGCACTACAATCGAAAGAACTATCGCAGTCATAATTATCGGAGATTTCCAACCACAATCCGTGCGAAACATATTATAGAATAAGATATCATCGAACACATCGATTTCCGCTGTTTCAGGATAAGCAATTGATTGTGTAACATCGCTCATTAGTTCTTCTGTCGTGGCAAACTCCAGTGGACAATTTGATCTATTTTGACATTGCAGACAGCTAGGAATGAGACGGCTATTATCTGCTTTACAAACACTGCATGGCCATATTCCAGCATCATTTTTATAGGTTCCGACTGGACAGGTTACACGATTGGGATAGAGAAAGTAGAGTCCATCAACATGACTCGTATAAATATCATCGTAAAAGAAAGATTCTACCGAATAGTATCCAGGATCAGATGGTAATAGAACTAAGATATGAGAAAGTTGATTGATTAGATACAATGTAGAAGGAGTCGTTTGTGTGGCAACCATGAACGTAGCAGTTGGTTTGAACTGATTGGCGTATTTCTGAAAAAAGTTAGGAAAAGTCATCGTGGCTGTTGCATTAGTTATAAACAGTGTCATGTCGTTGGAATCATAAATATAAACATTTGATCTTGCAGCTATTACTGAATCTCGTGGTAGATCAGCCGTATCTAACACGGCAGCCCTTTGTCCGTTATTTAACCAAGCGACAGTCGTTCCGTAATTGTCTCTCATCACAATATCTTGCTGTTTAGTGCCTAGATGCTGCAACCGGAATGACTTCGTAGGCGTTTCATCGATAGTAAATAAATAAATCGAGTTTATAGTTGGAATTCCAAGCAGAATCTTCTCACCTGCTTGTTCACTTGCGCTAAGCGATAGGTCAAGATGCTCATAACTACACGCTAGTTCTGATTGCCATCGATCATGGAATTGAATTCGATATCCACTGAAATCAACTGACATTAAATAAACTGTTACTGTACATGAACCCGCGGATTTTTCATAACCAGCCATATACACAAAACGAGCGCTCGTATCAGCACATACCGGTGTAAAATATGTTGAATTTGGCCACACCATCTCATCGATCCAATGCATCCGTGTAAATAAATTACGAATAAAAATAAAAGATTCCGTCATCGCAATTGCATATTGACCATACGGTTCAACCGATAATACAAGACGATTAATAGGATTAGCTTTTGATAGATTTCCAGACGTAATTGTATCCATTTCAACATGTTCATTATTAGTAACAGTAACCTTTGACATATACAATGCGGATCCGCTTTTCTCTATGGCAACAAAATAAAGTTGCGAGTGATTTTGTGCTTTGCCAATAGCAACAGTCGACGCATTCAACAAACTTCTAGAAATGTAGAACACCTTTTTTCGATTGGCAGAAAACTGATATTGTATGGGAGAATTTGAATTTGATTTCAAAGAAACCAAAAGATGATCATTCGCTGCTAGTATAACAGAAACTGGAGGAGATCTTTGTCCGTTGATAAATTGTACCATAAATACAAATAGAAATACAATACACTCCATTGAACACTTCTATTCGATTGTGCATAATATAGATGTGACACGCGATAACATTCTATTTATTCTAAATATGACGATGACGTCCAAAATGGTGAAATACGAGATATCTTCTCTCTCAAATATTGTAAAAAAATACATCACAGATTTACATTAATCATTTTCAATCAAATACTTTCAATATCCTATTACATATTTCGATCATCCAGATAGATTGTTGACCTTGGATGAAGTTAAAAATACAAAACATATGCGAGTGAGTGCGCTCAATAAGTGCTCAGTGTCTTTAGGAAACTATTCAACAGAACTAATGTGTTCTCGACACATATTCTCTTGGTTTGGTTTGACTTCTTGCGGCCTACGAAAGATTTCAATAAATTCTTCATTTTGAAAGTAAATCACTCCGATCAATCAATTAATTTTATCATTTCCTCCGATCGTTTGTTTGTGCTTGGTGAAAATGTTGCTTAATAAAGACTCAGCGATACTTAATTGATGTAAATGAAATTCCATTAGTTGTATTTTTGTTGTCTGAAAAAGTGATGAATACACCCACAATCTTGAGACAAATGAACGGTCAATTGGTATAAATATATATAGAATCTTTTGATCATTTGAATACTGCTGTCTTCAAACTGAATACTTGCGGAGATTTGTTCACGTACGAAATATACATACAATCAATTTTGAGTGGGATTTCTTTCATGTTTAATGGTCCGCAAAAGCGCAAACCATAATCGCGTATATGTAGGAGGTTCATAGAATATCCTCGATCTACCTAACATTTTCTTAGTTTACCGTTGACAATAATCTAACCAAAGGTTTATTTTACATTCATATGTGATTAGACTGGTTGACTGGACTACGTTTGATAATCAAAAGCTAAAGACGCAGTGAATATGTGTCATCGATCACATTTCTTTTCCTCTTCGTCGTAGTGGGACAAATGTATCCCCATATGAATACTTGCGTCATCAAATCCGTATATAAATATACGAATATGTACTGAACGAGCGGAATAGTTTATATTTCATTCTATATGGTAAGTGCACAATGTAACAAGTATTTCTCATAGTTTGTCAATATTCGCATATTTTAGTGTTAAACTGAATATGCGTTCTTGTTTGTTTACTGCGCTCTTTTTGATTCTGATTATCAAATATGTTCATTTGGAGGAAGCTAAACCACGCAAAGTTTGTCTGATGTGCTGTGGCAAACCTCCATGTTGCAACTGTTGTGGCTTGCCTGGCTGTACTAGTGGAACTGATCAAGCTAGTAGTACTCCTGCTCCGAGTACAGCATCAGCCGCATATGAAAGAAATATTCGTGTTGCAATCAACACACCACGGCCATCTGGAGCATGCCTGACATGTTGTGGACCGCCGCCTTGTTGTAATACTTGTGGACTTGATATCTAATTCTTTCTGTGACAAACTCGAACTTCTTTTGTACATTTTTTTACAATAAAAAAGCGTGACATCAAAGTCAGTACGATGAAAGAGAATAACAATATTGTTAGTACAAACGTTTCCGACAATAATGGCCGGTCTATTATTATTCTTATTGAGATCAGCAGCAACTGCGACCATCGGTTCAATCATAAACCGTGTGCGTATGAGCCAGTTGAATATTTTACGGGTGTAGCAAAATATCCGTTACCTTGATTAAAAATTAGTCACAACAATATCTGATGTAGCATCATCATTTATTTCATTCACTACTGTATTCCAAGGATCGTTCCCTGCTGGAAAAGCGCTTGTTTAAGCAATGCTCCATTGTCTACATTTAGAAAAACTGCAGAACATCGGTACTATTATATACTATATGTGGTAAGTATGCTAGATTGTATTGTGCTGTAAGAAATCTAACAATTGTGTTACTATCTTCATTCGTGCCTTCAGTAAAACAGAAGTATTCAATTACTTGTTATGACACTACTAGGTAAAGGTGGTTTGAGATACAAAAAAAAACGATGAATTAAGATCGATGCGCAGTACTGACTTCGGCAAGTAATAAACAAACATTTGACAATGTTTTTCAACCGAATAACAATTCAACGCTGTATATAGTGAAAATGTAGTGGAAAAGAATGCTTTACAAACGTACACAAAACATGTATTCGTATAGATCGTAGTAATATTCGAAAATGAAACATATGATGCATCAGGAACATGTCTCATAGATACTGTAGTACAATCGACATTACCAATAGTTATTATCGAAATTACTAGAAGAACCGAATATGTCATCGCTATGAGTTGAATCTCAAATGGTTTCGTGAATGTATTATTTGTAAAATACTTTTATAATGCAATTAGAGTATGGTACACTACGGGTAAAAAATGGATAATATTAAAAAGAAAAGCATATCTATGTATACTCTCAGGGCCCTTTTTCGATGGAAGTAATGAAAGCATGATAAAACTAAATCGAATTGCGTTTGAATTATTTAGAATTTTCGTCGGCAATTTTTAATATTAACTTTCCTTGTGCCATTCGATTTCGAGATCGTTCATAAGCAGAATACAATGCTTCGATTCCATCTTTTCTCCAATCGTATACTTTATCGATAATGGGTTTAACTTTCCCACTTTCGAAATAATTCAATCTTAAATCATCGAGATTCTCCGGTGTTTGACTGTGAACATGCATGAAATATTTATGGCGTTCAGAACCAAAAACTGACCAGAATTTTCGGTTGAGCAGATTTCCAGCAGTTTGAACGATCCATGTTACTGAAAGAACAGGATTCGGATCGTCGCCTACAAATGTAATAAAATCTCCACCGCGTTTAAGAATGCGCTGCGCAGATATCCAATTCTGTTGTCCTCCAACACAATCACAAACGATATCGTAATCATTTCCTTGCAATTCTTCGCCGAAATCTTTTTCTTTGTAATCGATGACTAAGATCTGATTGTCCATATTGATCCATTCGGATTTATTTCGGATAATCTCATAACCTAACTTTTCAATGAGGAAAAGATTTCTTTGTGAACAAGTAAGAGCAACGAATGCTCCAACTGCTTTAGCTAATTGAATGGCAAACAGCCCTGTTGCTGAACCGCCGCCACAAATGAATAATTTTGTTCCTTTTCCAACTGGTGACGAACATCGTTGAAATAAAGCTTCATAACTTGTTTCACAAGCTAATGGAATTGCCGCAGCTTCTTCCATCGTTAAATTCGTTGGTTTAATAGCTAACATTGACTCTTCTGCTCGAGCATATTCTGCGTAACCTCCTCCGTTAGTCCCTAAATTCCCATAAACATGGTCACCTATGCGAACACGTCCGACAGCGGAACCAACATCGACAACAACGCCAGCTACGTCACCACCAGGAATATGAGGAAATGAATATCGAATAGCAAACGATACGTCGCCGTATAGCAGTTTACAATCAGCAGGGTTAATTGATGCAGCATAAACACGAATAAGAACTTGCTTTGAAGTTAATTCTCGAGGAACGGAAACATTGTCGTCAAGTTGTAAGACATCACGAACATTTCCATAGTTTATCTGCTGAGCTGCTCGCATAACATATGGAATTTCATTATTTGAAGTTGTAACGTTATCTTCCGTCATCGACAATGCTTTCTTTGCACTGATCTAGTTCAGAATACAGTTAGAACATAATTTGTACACATACACGATGACTCAGAGATCCTGTTTTGACACAATTCATCATTGAAATACCAATCAAACAAATGTCGCTTTCTTTTATGTAGATGTCACAAATTAATTTATCGACGATTACAGTACTATGTAAAAAACTTCTCTGTTTATTCAACTAGAATGTGAATCTATCAGTTATTGTTTTACAATACTAAGGAAACAATGCACATAGTCCATCGAATAATCCTTTGGTGCAACAATCACATCGTTCTCTATGGCTTGATAGAAGCGATCAATGATAGTTTGACGTTCAGTTGAATTTCGTGTAAGATCTAATGCATTGAAAAAAGTGCTTTCAGACCAAGAGCGTAAAGTTGGTATGAAAGCTCTAGCAAATACGTGTGCGTCGCCATGCTCTCGAAATTGTGCTGCATACGGGCATTTGGTAACACGTGTACTCACGTGCTTGAGTACGAGACCGGCGCGTCGCACTGAAGAGTTTTCATCGTCGAAAGGTGCTGTGAATTCATTTACAGTTCTGTAGTACTGCTGAAACGTAGCGTTGTGATATTCCGACTCGGTTATTTCGCCATCGCTCATCAGTTTTCGCCAGTGGTTAGTAAACCAATCGAACATATTTACACCATTACCTGTAGCACCAAGGTAATGACCTTGATCATCTATACAGAAATTGGCGAGTACCAGCACACCGCCAGAGACAAGTTCTCGAGCTCGTGTCAGAAGAATCGTCTCCCAATCAGTAGCGGCTTGACGACGAAAATGTTCACGTTCTTCGGAACTTGCACCAGTAGCATGTACATGGTCAGCAATGAGTGACGGCCGTTTACTTAACCAATGCATAGCCGTAGCAGAGAATCCAAGTGAGAGCGTATTCTCAGGAAAAATCTGTCGATAAAATGTTGTTCCACTTGCAAATGTATAAACGTTTGGTTCATGGCCTAATGGTGTAACGTGATCGTCGTGAAAATGAAGACGACGAAATAATGCCGAGAAATCATTCTGTGGTAGATCTGTATAAGTAATTGTAATTGGTCGCGCCACGTTTGCTGCTCGAACTGATTCGATTAAACATCGCATCAGATCGAGTGATGTACCACCATCGGCTGCACCGAAATCGGCGATTTCAAATGATGCATTCGATTGGAACAAATTCATTCTTGAAAGAGCATCAACAACTAGAACACCTGCAGTATCAATAACAACTTTAGCACCAATTGTATTTTCACTATAATAACCCATACCACGCATTGCAATCATCTTTGTACTTGAACTTTTGATTTCTTTGAACGAAGCGATCTACAATATTCTTTATGTAGGAAAACTTAGACAAAGCGATGGAGGAAATATTATCGAGTGATCGTGAAGTGAACTAGGAGAAAGGAAAAGACTGTTGTATATTCGACGATCAGCGTGACATAATTACACGTTAACAAAACATGCTAGAAGTTTAACTCACACTGTTAAAAACAATAAAAGATAAAGTGACAAAAAGAAACACGTGTCTCGAGCATTGATAACTTGTCTTTCGTTTCTGCCTTAAATTTTTATATTTATGAGTGAAGTGGAAGAAAAACAATATATCAATGACGTGTTAATTTCTTTTTCATTCTGTTTAATATTTGTGCGAATGATGTCTGATCGAAGTGTGCCTGGTAAGACTTCGAAGGTGAGATAAGCAGAATGTAATTTGCCATTTGACGTAAGTAGGACAAGAACTAGGATGCTATCATTAAATAACATTGCCATGGAACTTCTAAGAATCGTGTAGACATTTGCACGTTTACATGTAACAACGAGAATAAGAATAAGCACAGAAAAAAATGATCAAACACGGAATCATATAACCAAATATGGTTATCGTTTGACTATAAATGGACAAATGTTGATCATATTGTATAACACACCATATACCTGTTTTTGTGTATTTCGGATCAGGAACAACGTTGTAACAATGACTCCATAAATGATTTAGAAACACAGTTACGCACGCACTTACAATGGATGTGAAAGTAATCAACCAGAAACATAATCGTGTAAAACACGATAAACCATATGTAATCGATTTACACAGAATTGTGTTAATTGTATAATTCAATATGAAACCTCTTGCACTTAACAGGAAATAAATGTTCTTTGAAAACAAAAATACAATTGATATTTGACTTGTTACGCTATTGATGAACAAATAGTAGCCAACACCAACTAAAATCTGAAAATAAGTTAAAAAACGGATTTATTTTGAAAGAAAGAGTGACCTTAGTGTAATTTAACTTCACCAGGGAAGTGTCACATACTTTCACTCAGTCATAAATAACTCGTCGAGGCTTTGGACGACGAAATGTTACAAAACATGAGATATTATTTTAAAAAAACGAAGATTAACACGATGACAAGTATGACAATGTAATCAGTAATAAATAAATGTTGACTTTTAACTGAATTGGAGAGTATATCATTAGTAAGTAGTGAATCTAATGAAAAACTTAAAAACATGTATTGGGTCAATCCACTTTTTGGAAAGGTTTTTCGGCTCAAACACCCGATCTCTGTTAGAAAACACTTTTGGTGAACAAAAAATTGGGCCCTATCTGCGGAAAACCTCGAGTTTTTTTATACGTAGAAAAAATGACAGAAAAACGTCTGGAACTTCATCAAAGGCTCTTTTTTCGGAATTGTCTAGTACTCATAAATATCAAACAAGTCTAGAAACATGTTTTCTGGTAGGAATTAGACTGATCTTATTGAATTTCATATGTGATAAGTCATTTTCTATGTATATGATAATAGTCCTATTGCACGATTGTGAATTAGATTTAATTAATTCGAAGAAATCTTGTCTTATTTTCGTCGTAGAGTATGAGAATTTTGATGATACTGTTCTCTCGAAATGGTGCTGAACTGATGACTTTGCTCACATCGCTAGAAAGGTTCGTCATGAAGCGTTCTCACAGAAGTAAGAGAGCGCAGTCGAAAAGGACAGTGTTATCAAAAAGATGGGTTTTCCATTTCTGTGTAAGGACATCTTTAGATTTAAAACGTGATGTGTTTCTAAAAATGTCCTGATCTTAAACGAATAAGATTACGGGATGAATCATTGAATATTAGTACAGATATTGATTGCTCAGTGGTACCTCTCTTCTTCGAAAATATTGTGAACATCCGATAAATCATGAGAAATATACACGTGTGCCAAAAGGAGTCAAGCCTGTGTCTATACAGCTTTCGAACTTTTTGATTTCTCATTATGATGTGGCTCACAATCGAATTCGTTGGTTATGTCCAAGATGCCATACATTCGAATCGAAGAAAATGATGAATCATCAATCAATGGAAGTCAACGACGATGAAAGTTCTAGTGGTGAAGAATTCATGACAGAAGGTTCTCCTATCAATCAAAATCAAAATAATGATGCTGTCGATATGGATGTCAATGAACTGAACGAAGAAGAGAAACAAAATTCTCATATGGATAGTGGTATTATAGCTGAATCAGACGACAACGATGATGAATCGCCACAAATGGATGAAAGCCCAACTGATCCCGAATCGAGGAACGAAAAGATGATCATGTTTTTTATGAACTCGAACATAAGAAAGACAAAGCAATAGAAGAACTGTCGGCTGTATTCAAATTACTGAACATAGATCCGATTCGTGACAGGATAGTTTGTAAACTCAATTCGAATTTACTGAAATGAGGATTGTATTTAGATCAGTAGTAGCACCCATTCAGACCAAAGTTGTGGAAGTTTATCGAAAACTAAATCGATTATGCGATGTACTGGATGAGAAATCTCAACTTTCAAATGATGCCAGTCCTAATGATCTAACAATACAAGAATCGAACGAACTTTTGAGTGATTTAAAAAAGTTATATGATGATAGTGATGCTGATGAAAGGGTCCGCGTGATGACAATTGTTCCTAAAGATTAGGGTCAACAAAAAATAGCAAAATGGTGCGTATTCTATTCTCTTC